TACGCGCGTTGACCGATGCGCACGAGATGATTTGACGTACGCGCGCTGACCGGCGCGCACGAGTTGGTTGACGTGCACGCGTTTGATCGGCGCGCACGAGTTGGTTTGACGTGCACGTGTTTGACTGACGCGCACGCGTTGTGCGCGCGTTGACCGGCACGCACGAGTTGGTTGACGTGCACGTGTTTGACTGACGCGCACGCGTTGATTGACGTGCGCGCGTTGACCGGCGCACACGAGCTGATTGACGTGCGCGTGTTGACTGGTGCGCACGAGTTGATTGACGTGCACGCGTTTGACCGACGCGCACGAGTTGGTTTGACGAATCTTCTTGACTCGCCCATTCATTGCTTCGAGTTTCGTGCGGGCTCTCATAGACAGTTTTAGACGCCTACAGATACCCCCTCCAAAGTGTTTCAGCCTCATTCTTTTATAGAGGAGTCTGGAACGCTTTGGATATGATGGATCCCCACCTTCAGTCGGTGTTAAAGGACCTACAGATGGTTTCGATTCTTGACTTCTCCATATTTTAGCGTATTCTGTATTTTGTCTAATAGCTAAGATCTTCTCGGCACTGCGTTTATCGTCTGACCGTTATTGAAGCCTTGAACCGGAATTGGTGAGTGGATTTTTTTTGTTGATATGTCATTGAGTTGACTTTTGGATCAATTGCAACGCGTTGTCAGGCGTTGACCTAGGGCTACGCGTTGACCGGCGTTGATCTTAGAGTTTCGAATCGATCGGCGTTGACTTTTATCGCAACGCGTTGACCGGCGTTGACCTAGGGCTACGCGTTGACCGGCGTTGACCTTAGGGTTTCGAATCGATCGGCGTTGACTTTCATCGCAGCGCGTTGACCGGCGTTGACCTAGGGCTACGCGTTGACCGGCGTTGACCTTAGGGTTTCGCGTTAACCTGAGGAGAACCAGTTTATACTCGTGTACTCCTGGGAGTTTTGGGAATCAGTTTAACCTCGTGTACCCGTGGGAGGTTGCCAGGTTATCCTTAAGAATTATTATCTGTAATATTCTCTAGGAACTTCCTGTCAAAATGGGAAACGGTTTAGACTCATGTACCCGTTGGAGTTTGGATATAGAATATTCCGATAATAAGCGAAAATATCGCGAAATCACCCAAAATATAAAATTAGGTCTCGGGTATTCTGAAATAGGCGAAAATATCTTGAAATTATTTGGGAGACGGAATTGAACTCCGAAAATTCCCAATCTGACTGAAAATGCCGATCAATTATCCGGGAAATGAAGTCGAACTCTGAACATTCCAAATATGAGCAAAAACACCGTGAAATTGTCCGGGAGATGAGGTTAAGCTTCGAAAATTTCGAAAACGGACGAAAACGGATGAAAATACAGCAAAACATGCACTAGACCCGGTCTGACCCGCGTTCACGCGGGTCAGATAGATCCGACCCGCGTGATCGCGGGTCGGATTAATCCGACCCGCGAGCACGCGGGTCGGACATGAATCCGACCCGCGGAACGCGGGTCGGATGGGGGGAGAAAATAAAATCCCGATTCTGTTCTCTTTCTTCTTCAACTTCGGTTTCAAGACTTCATCTTCCCCATTTCACTTGTTCAAGAACTCTTCTAGCTCCAGAGTTCCAACAGAGATCCGACTCCCCTACCTTTAAATCCTTCATCTTTGCTAAGATTAAGCCTCCAAGCAAGCTTCTGATCTTTGGCCGAAATCCCCATCTTCCCAAAAGCTAGGGTTTGGGATTTTCTTCTTCTTCAAGCTCTATTCTTCTTGAGATTTGGGTAAGTTTTCTTCCATGGCTTCTTGTGATTTCAGTTTTGATTTCTTGTCTTGATTTTGGTTAGTTCCTCATGTTTTGATTTAATGTTTGAAACCCTAGTTCTTGGATTTGGGCAAAAACCGAATTTTAAACTTGAGCTTTGAATGTGGCCGATTTTTGTTGAGTTTTGATTCTTTGAATTTGTGTAAATAACTGAAGTTGTTGGTTGGAACTCTTTGTTGGCCGAAATTTCCACTATCCATGGCCAAAAGTTACTGTTCATGGCCGAATTCTTGGCTTTGGTTGATGTTGGTCGACTGAATTCTTTGTTGATTCTGCTCATGGTCGAATTTAGTTGAGCTTGGTTAACATTGGCCGAAAGTAATAACGTAATCTGCAATGAAGACCAACGCAGCTTGGTCAGGATCGAGAACCAAGAACATAAACATCAGAGACTGAAAAAAGGAAATTGTGAGATTTCTTTAATTGAATTCTACAAAATGGAATTTCCAATTAAGTCAGTTTAAAGCCTATACGACATCCTCAGCTCAGGTTAAAGGTCATAAAGACCAACCAAAACTCGTCATGTATAATTCGATTCAACCATATAAATTCTTGAGTCATATACCAAGTTTCAAGCATATACAAGATTGATCAAAGCCTGCAAAAATTTTCTCGGCCAATAATTGAATTCAAGTGCAACATCAACCAAAAGTCAACAAAAGGGTGTTCTCACGCGATGAGTTCAATCATATACAAGTTCAGTCATATTCACGACACGCTCAGATCATATACAGAATTCAGTTATGCACGAATTCAATCATTATATACAAAGTGGGTTAAGTACAAGTTTGGAGTTCAAGTCAAGTCTGTCCTACACATGTAAGCAAAGCCTCAAGTGTGGGGTATCGAAGGTTGCTCCAACCACATGCAAGGTTCTGGATTCGAGGCATACATAAAGTCAAAATCGGAGAGTCAAGGCCTCGTTCAAACGAAGGAGGATTGCGGGGCTGACGTGGGCGGTGTTGGGGACAATGACGTTTCGCACGTGAAATTAAATTCGGAGAATTTTGCATGCTTTTGAATTCCAATCTTGTATATGCCTTGAACCCAACTTGTATATTGATATATTGTATATGCAAAGTCAAGGTATGACATACTTCTTATAGAAGCGCCCACTTATATGCCCTTGACATTCGAACCATTCAATGTCACGGAATTCGAGTCATATTCGAGGCCGAGCTTATCTAAGCCAAGTTCAGAAGTGAATCGGGTTCATATGGTCCACATTACGAGTTCGTGAGATTCATATAGTATTGCAAACCTATAATAACCTTGTAACAGACTGAGGATATGTTATACGATAAAGATGTAGTTTCGGTATAACTGGACTACTATATATTGGAAGATTATATCACTTCCAATAATTTGTCGATATGGCATAAATTACTCTCACATAGGAGAAAGACTCTAACTTTCACAAGAATTATTCCATGTTCACATGATCCACATGAGATTTTTCAGTCCATTGTTTAAATTCATTGAAGTCTCCATACACTGATTGGTCTTTCGACTAGACTGATGAGGGTCATTGTCTTGCAGAAGAATGAGTTGTAGTTGCAGGGTTACGAATAATGTCGACAAGGATTAAGCACAGAGGCAATTACGCCTTCCCGGAGGAGTGGGTATATACAGTAAAGGTTCAAACAAACAAAACTTTCGGCCAATGTTAACCAAGCTCAAGCTAAATTGCGACTCAATGAGCAGAATCAACAAAGAATTCAGTCGACCAACAGTAACCGAAAGCCAAGAATTCGGCCATGAACAGGGTAACTTTTGGCCATGATTAGGTGGAAATTTCGGCCAACAAAGAGTTCCAACCAACAACTTCAGTTATTTACACAAATTCAAAGAATCAACAACTCAACAAAATCGGCCAACATTCAAAGCTTCCAGTTTTAAAAATTTCGGTTTTGGGCCCAAATCCAAGAACTAGGGTTTTCAAACATTAAATCAAAACATGAGGAACTAACCAAAATCAAGACAAGAATCAAAACTGAAATCACAAGAAAAAGCCAATGGAAGAAAAACTTCACCAAATTCTCAAGAAGAATAGAGCTTGAAGAAGAAGAAAATCCCAAACCCTAGCTTTTGGGAAGATGGGATTTCGGCCAAAGATCAGAATTTA